TGAGGGTTACAGAAAGGGTTAAGGGTTTAGGGGAGGGTGGGGGGGGTGGTTAGAGGGGCAAGTTTGGGGTTTCCTTATAAGGGTATCAATCAGGTTCTCTAAGGCATCGGGGTTTGTGGCTGAGACTGAGAGCAGGGATCCTCCCAGTAGGGCTCAAGACCCGAGACCCCAATACTGTGTGCTAGGTTCCCCAGTAGTACCCTTTTTCTTTTCGGGTTCCCTTAACAAAACCAAACAGTAGGAAAAACAGTACCCTTATTATTTAGGGGCTACTGGCAACCTGTTGTGCTCTGAACGCAGAAGATCCGCACTTATGAACACCGGTCGCGCCTCACCACCCCCTGCAGACACGGACCCTCGGTAGTTTTTTCCCGTTGGGAGCTGCAGCTAGGAGTTCGGATGGCAGTTCCCTCCGTGCCTTTGACCCCTGGACCCTTAGCCGCTCCACCCGAATCTACCTCTTACCCCCTGGACTTGTTCACCCGAGGCCCTAAACCCTAAACCCTACGCCCTAAACCCTGAGCCCTGAACCCTGAACCCTAAACCCTGAGCCCTAAGCCCTAAACCCTAAGCCCTAAACCCTGAGCCCTAAGCCCCAAACCCTGAGCCCTAAACCTTAAGCCCTAAACCCTGAGCCCTAAGCCCTAAACCCTGAACCCTAAGCCCTAAACCCTGAGCCCTAAGCCCTAAACCCTAAGCGCCCTAAACCCTAAGCTCAGCTCTTTGCATTCCGAGGCTGGCAGATGACAAGTTCGAGATGCTGGAGGAGCATCAAGTGCAAGTGCAGAACATGCGCCTTGGATACTTATCATAAGGAACCCCCAGAATTATCATAATATACGGTTTAGGGTTTAGGGTTTAGGGAGCACCCAAATTATCATGATATAGGTTATTATTTAGACCCCTACATTCCAGGATTTTAGAAGGGCTGCAGAAGAGTCCTACGTTAAGAGGTGTGATTAGGATTCAGGGGTGTAGGATTTGATTGGGTCGTGGGCCTTAAACCCTAAGTCCCTACTTTCTTGGGTGTGGAGGTGGTGGCTGCATAGCCTGCCTAAACCCTAAACCCGAAACCCTAAACGCTAAACCCTAAACCCTCAACCCTCAACCCTAAACCCGAAACCCTAAATGCTAAACCCTAAACCCTACGCCCTAAACCCTAAACCCTACGCCCTAAACCCTAAACCTTAAGCCCGAAACCCTAAACCATAACCTTAAGCCTTGAAGCCGAGGAACCCCGGGGCTGCCTAAGCCCTTTGAGCTTAAGCCCTACACCCTCAATACGGTTTAGGGTTTAGGGTTTAGGGTTTAGGGTTTAGGGTTTAGGGTTTAGGGTTTAGGACCCGACACCCCAGCAACAAAAGTCTACGCTCGAAGCCGTACACTCTGCACTCGAAATCGCCTTTGGGTTTAGGGGTTTAGGGTTTGGGGTTCAGGTTTCAGGGTTTAGGGTTCACGGTTTAGCGTTGAAGTTCAGTTCGCAGGCTGTTTTTGGAAGCTGTTTCTCATCTTCTGACATCATTTGGCCATCGTGATTGGTTATGTTCCTCGCGGGTTTAGGGTTTTCTTTTGGATTCGGACCAAAACCCTGCACCCAAAACCCCCTGAACACTAAACTCCCTAACTCCATCAGCCCCTAAACCCTAAACCCCTAAACCCTAAACCCTAAACCCTAAACCCTAAACCCTAAACCCTAAACCCTAAACCCTAAACCCTAAACCCCTAACTGCGGAGATCTTCTGAAGGTTTGCCTCGCGTTTCCTGTCGACCTTCGAGACCGAGGCTCCTCAGACGATTCCGGGGATAGCGGCTTTTTTCATCCTGGGGTCGGTTTAGGGTTTAGGATTTTGGGGTTTAGGATTTAGGGTTTAGGGTTTAGGGTTTAGGGTTTAGGGTTTTGGGGTTTAGGATTTAGGGTTTAGGGTTTAGGGTTTAGGGTTTTTGGTTTTTATTATTGAATGGTGATGTTTTCATTGCGGTTTGGGGTTTAGGGTTTAGGATTTTTTTATTGTTGAATGGTGATGTTTTAGTTGCGGTTTGGGGTTACTTAAGGAGTCTGATTATTTAGCAAGCTATCCGAAGACTTGATTACATTAGTCAGATCTCTACGTAGGAGTTTCGGGTGGATATTCGTAAGATGGGATGCAAAACTCGCCCCCCCCCCCAGCCAAAACCCTAAACCCTAAACCCTAAACCCTAAACCCTAAACCCTAAACCCTAAAGACTTCTGTGGAATGCTGGATGAATCTTGCCGTCGAGGTGGTCTCGTGGCAGAAGACTCTGGCGATCCTTGGTGTGGCTTTGGATTTAGAGTTTTGCGAGGCGTCTGTTCAACAGAGGGTGTAGTTCTGGGGTGGAGTTCCGAACGCCTTAGATGTTGGATGAGAGGGCATGTCTGTTGCTTCCGCGCTCGCGCTAGGACTCCGGGGTTTGCGGTTTTGGGCTTACCTTAACCCCAAATCACTTACCTTTTTGAAGGACTTATATAAAGAAATCATAAGAAGGAGTCCTAAAAAGTCTACTTTTTTGCAGGACTTATAGAAAGATTTCACAATAAGGAGCCCCAAAAAAGTAGGTTCTTTGCCTTGATCCAAGCAATGGCTTTGGCATTGAAGGATGTCCAAGGTCAGGGTCTGAGCTGCTCGGGCTTAGGGCTTAAGGGGGTTTAGGCTTTAGGGCTTAAGGCTTAGGGGGGTTTAGGGTTTAGGGGTTTAGGGTTTAGGGCTTAGGGCTTAGGGGGGTTTAGGGCTTTGGGGTTTAGGGTTTAGGGTTTAGGGCTGAGGGGGTAGGGGGGTTTATTGTTTAGGGTTTGGGGGGTTTAGGGTTTTGGGGTTTAGGTTTTGGGGGGTTTAGGGTTTATGGGGCTTTGGGGTTTAGGTTTTCTACAGTTCCGCCGAACCCTCGAACTCTCCTATAGCCTGGAACCCCTACAGTAATCCCTCCACAAACCATCTCACTTACTTGCTTCCTTGCTTGCTTGCTTGCTGGCTTCCTTCCTTCCTTGCTTGCTTGCTTGCTGGCTTGCTTACTTACTTACTTGCTTGCTTGCT